ACGTGCGGCTAAACTCATTGAAATTTTCCAGCAACCGTTGGATATGTACATACNTTTCTATGTAAAACTAACACTATACCTAGAACTAGAATCATTTGGGTTTAGTCGCACGTCTCTAAGGACGGCTAAACCCGAATGATTCTAGTTCTTGGATTTGTGTTAGTTCTAGTTTTAAATGTTATTAAGTTAATTTGTTGTCTATTTTTACTGAAATAAAAGTAGAAGTAACACTAGACCTAGAACTAGAATCATTCGGGTTTAGCCGTATTGAGAGACGTGCGGCTAAACTCGAATGTTTCTAGTTCTATATCTATTGTTAGTTATAGTTTTACATCTTTATTTCTTGAGTTTAATAACACTTGCTCAGTGTTTAAATAATTATTAATGCAAATATTATTATTACACATTATATTAATATTACATGTATATTATAATATTATATTTTTCTTCCTATGACGTCACGTTTCCTACCTCACCCCGTCAACGTCAGTTTGTTGGAGTTGGATAACCTTATAACTTATACTCAACGGACTTTGGGACAGACCTACTAACACCTAATAGATTAGGTGCAGGGAGTATATATCGATGACATATACTAAGGATCTCATTTTGACCTCGGAAAAGGAGCACCTGGCAAAACTGCGGCTAGTATGGAGCATTTGGTATGCCTGATTTTGCAACCCTGCCAAATATTTTTAGAAACGCACAGGTAATATTCCTGAGATGTAGTAAATCCAGCGAATCGCCTAAGACCTACTATAGCGAGTAAAATTCGATATAACTTTTTCAGGCAGACTGTACCATGGATGATGGAACTCAATTCATTCTTGAAGCTATGTCATCAAACTTCAACGATTTAACCAGCCAAAATAACATATCATACCTTAGATTTCTTGATGATAATATCATTCCTCAAGTAGAAGCTCAGAACGTCTTCGTATTAACCTGGTTGAACATTTATCCGTACCAAAATAATACAAATACTGCCTAACATGCGCAGATTGATTTTCAGGTTGGCCCGACATAATTTCAATGGAAAACATGAAATCATGCACAATTGTAAAAGCACTAATTTGATGAAGAATTTCCCGATTTGATATGGCATTGTGAATCAAAAAATCTTGCAATAAGAGAAGGAATGTCAAATAATAATAATAATAATATCTTTATTTCCATAGGCTGTACAGCATCAGAAATTGTCATTACACTAATGATTACAAAAGATAGTCAGTACAATACGTACGTTTCGTCGTCTCACAGCGAACATGCACAGCGAAAATACAACAAAACAATGACAAAAGGAAACAAAACAAATTACTGCAATTCTCTGTCATCGTCGTGGTCCCATTCCGTGTTTAGTAAAAGCATTTGGATATAAGGAAGATTTTCAATTTATACTTGAAACGGTTGAAATCAAGCCTTTTAAATGTTATCGGCAAATGATTGTATAAGCGAATCATCATATGTTGAGGGCTATTTTGGGTGAGAGACAGTCGGCATTTCGGTATGTACAGATTGTCAGCCTGCCTAGTGGGGTATTGAGTATTTATATCACCACTCCTAGCAAACTCCGTAAGGTGTTTCTTTACATATAAGAGTGAATGCAGAATATAAACACAAGGCATGGTTAATAAGCGATTCTTTCGAAATGATTCTTTACATGATTCATTATAAGACAAATCAAACATCGACCTAATGACTTTCTTCTGGGCCACAAACACCCGTTGTGAAGTCGAAGAATTGCCCCAACACACAATGCCATAATTTAGATGGGAATAAACCAAACCGTAATAAATAGTTTTGATAATTTCGGTATGAAGTACCTTCCGAAGTTTCAAAAACAAAAACGAGAGTGAGGACAGCTTCTTTGAAAGAACTCGTGTCTGCTCATCCCAGGAAAAGTGTGCATCAAACTGGATACCAAGAAATTTCACATTGTCTGCAGATTCAACCGATGTTCCGTCGACTTTACCCGGCACGCTGAAATCAGGTTTATTGTATTTTGAGGTAAACTGCGTTAGTTGCGTTTTACCACAGTTCAATATCAAACCATTGGCGTTACACCAGTGTAGCATTTTGCGAGCAACATCAGTGATCCTCATTGACAACTGCGGAACTGATTTAGCCTTTATTGCGACGGAACGATCATCGGCAAATAAAACCTGTGTACAATCTGCACAAGATAAAGGGACATCGTTTATGTACAAAATGAAAAGCAACGGCCCCAATATGCTCCCCTGAGGGACTCCATATTGCACTGGGAGGAGAGACGAGTAGACAGTACTATTATTCCTTGACCACTTTACCAGCTGCTGCCTACCAGACAGGTAACTTTGAATCTACGCTAAGGCTGGGCCTCGAATACCATATCGACTCAACTTTTCTAAGAGCAGTTGGTGATGTAGAGTATCAAACGCTCTAGACAAGTCAAGGAATAGGCCACAACACACAGACCGAGCATCCAGACCCTCCACCACAGATGCATAAAAATCCAAAACAGCATCCTGAGTTGACTTATCAGTTCTGAAGCCAAACTGATGATTATTGATTATATTACACTTGTTAGCGAATTTATTTAGTCGCGTAAAAAATGCTCTTTCAAAAATCTTTGAAATTGCCGGAAGAACAGCTACAGGTCTATAATTGGACATCACTGAAGGGTCTCCCTTTTTGAAAATGGGGGTTATAGAGGCTATCTTGAAATTCCCCACATACAAACGACTCATTAATGAGAGCTGTCAATGTATCAGTTACAATGTGAGATACCTTGCCCAACAAGGAACAAGGTATCTCATCACAACCGCTCGAGTGCTTGATAGCCACGGACTTAATTATGTTAGCAACTTCTGAAGCTGTAACTGGAGTTAGAAAAAGTGAGCAGTTATTAGTTTTTATGCTTATTAGTGCCTCAGAAACATTTACAGTCGAGCAGCTCACCAATTTTCCAACAGAATTGATAAAAAATTCATTAAAAAGTTCAGCAATATCAATGAGAGCTGAGACCTCGGCACCATTATCACCTATAAAGGTATTAGTCGCTGTAATAGTTTTGTCTAAGGAATGCTCCTTTCGGGCCAGGTCCCATGCTATTTTCGACTTATTGCTTGCTGTTGAACATAGCTTACTATAGTACATATTTTTGGCAGTCTCAATAGATCCCAAATGACATCTCAGCCAATCCTTATATTCCGCATCTAAAGCCGGATTCCTTACTAGTTTACATAAGTGATGGAAGCTCCTCAGGTCGCTAGACTGTCTCCTAATATCCTGCATAATCCACCCCTTGTCGGTGGATGTGATAACAGATTTCCTCAAGGGGTAGCTGGATTGGAAGCCATTATAGAAGTGACTGTAAAATGACGAAAAAGATGCCTGAAAATTGAGATGGGAGTTTAAGTATTTAAAGGTGCTCAGGGTTGTTACAAAACTACTCAGATTAACCCTATTAAACCGACGTGTCAATGCCAAATGTGGGTGTATACCTTTGGCACACACTGGAATAGGAACAGAAGTAATTTGAGCAAGGTGATCGGAGAAACTCGTGTGAACCACCTTGGAGCTGTTAGGTACTACCACGTTAGTAAATATGTTGTCAATAGTAGTGGCTGATGCGTTCTTTACTCTAGTATGACTGAAGATTCGTTGATGAAGATCATGGGACATAAGAATATTAATTGTGCCAATCACATGGGGACACTGATAAGCCGCAAAATCCATATTGAAGTCCCCACAAACAACCAAGGGACCACGACGACTGCGAAAATTAAGAAGTAAACGCTCAAGTAAGCCCGCGAATAACGATAACTTTGATAGCGCGAAACTTAATAGCAAATCAGGCTAAAAACGAGAGAGAGAGAACTGAAACCTTTTAGAATTCGCGAAAACAGACCATGAATATTGTATTGGTTTGTATATTATGGGAATCCGATACGTTACGCAAAATTTTTACTAAAATTTGTGATTTGAGTTAGCGTAAAAATTTACAGGAAATGTAAAACACTGTTAAATCTCACTATGTTGTTGTGGCATAGTTATTGATGCATTGATTGTGATCAAGTGAAAGTTAACATGAAATGTTTCTTTCAATTTGTTCTTTAAAAATTCTATGAATCTGAAACATTGTATGGTGCTCTTTTTTAATATTAAGAATTAATTTAAAAACGTAATACACTACATAAATTTTAAGATTAAGTCCATAATTACTATGTTAACAACCTTGATGACTAAAACAGTGCCATTTAGAAATTATTTTAGTTTGCAGGTTTTACGAGTAACTTAATACCTTTTATTACATACAAGAACAAACATATAAGTATCATAATTACATTATGTTGACAATTAAATCGTAACGTTGTCATCTCGGGGTTCGTGTTACAGTTCTCCATATAGTGAAGACGTCTCTTACGGGTAGACACTTAGCCCAGACATTAATAACCCGGCATAACGTCCCTAAACAAATGTAAACTCCGCGAACAAGCTGTTATCCATAATGCTAACGTTACCGTCGGGAGATGACATATCTACCGTATAAGGAATGTCCGGCATTCGTCCTCCCGAACCCTTCCCCCGGGAACCTTCTTCCCCAACCGAACCGTATATATACCTGCCCGGTGTCTGGACGCAACGACACGCGGCGACTTCGAAATTAGCGTCCGGGACAGCGACCATAACTTACCCGAGTTCTGTGATAATAAATAACGCGCGTCCGGCAAAATTCTTCGACGATCGGAGCGCGACCCGCACGTTATTATTCATAACCGCTTTATTTATAAATATGAATAAGTTAAGCTTGGGCAAACTCTACCGCGATGATTGCCGTGATGAATCTGAGGGCTGGCGTTTTGGATTTATGATCCTCCAAAGTGAAAAGAGAAACTAAGATTTAAACGGCAAACTAAACTTAGCTAAACGTTACATTGAGACGTATGAGCTTGCAAATGTGATAATTGAATTATGAGTTTAAATTTGTAATCAGGTACAAAAAATAAATGTGTACTTACTCCATTCTGTATAATCCGACCATCCAGTTGAAATTAAAATGGAACATGCAAGAATAAACAACATTAATTCTTTTCTTACATTAAATAGTGAATAGTTTGGTTCCTTACCGTTTTAGCATTGACATCGCACTTGTAAGTCCCCGCAAAGTGCTTGACGATGTCCTCGTTGCCGTGTTTCGCGCCCCAATGTAGGACGGTCTGCAACAGATACGGATCGGTATAATAATTTGTCGACGGAACGATGGCGTCTTCTCCGTCGAGCAGCGTCGTCCCAAAAATAAACCGAACGCCCGACTCGACGAAGAAGTTAAAATATGTCGGTTACACGATTCCCGCAGATACGTCTTGTATCTGATAACAACGGCGGTTGCGAGGGGTTCGCTTTGGATGAATGTATGGGGTCGGTCGCGTTGTCATCATAATTTAGACCGAACCGGCGTATTCCAACGCGAGAGAAGGCTAAAAACGGGAACAAATACGGAGTTATGGGCGGAGAATACAAGGAATACCTCCGACTGACGAGGGGTGTACTAATTTTTGCTCTTGTATCCAGAGATGTTCCAAATTAGGTACCTTTACTCATGGTTCGGAAGGGTTAATTTAATTTGGAACGTAATACTACATTTTTTTTAAATTATAAATGAATAAGGGAGAGTAATTTACAATTTCTTCATTGGCACATTTATAATCTATAGAAAGTAAGATACAAAGAAAGATTACTATTACATCACATTACTCCCACATGTTTTATACTTAACATTAGATTTCATCAACGATTATTACACAACCAGACCATCCCTGTCACTAGTTTATGTAACAATACGATTTGAAACGTCAAGATGAGGATGTTTAGTACTAATGAACATCATTACTTATCTTATAAGGTTTTATGTGTCAATCGCATAAAACCTTATAAAGAAGTTCTTAGAAAATGTTGAAGATAAAGTAATAAATTCGTTTGTAAATATTTATATTTAAATAATGAAACATTTTCTTTTAAATAGTATAAGTCTAGATTTAATGTTATACACTTTCAGAACACATTTGTTACAATATTTCATTCATTAATTATTCAATACTTTTGATGAATAGAAACTAATGTTCCTTGGCGTTCTGCATGAAAGATTTTCTCGTGTTCGTAGCGGATTACTAGACTTGTAAATGGATGCTTTGGAAGTAAAATATGTATTATCTAGTATTGAAGCTTTACAACTCTTGGTAGACTTCCAACTACAATCACATTATTTCTACCAATAAATTAATTTATATGTTATTATATCAACATAGATATGAAATGTAAGATATAGTTTCGATGTTTATTACAGGATGTCTACCAAATAATTCATAAAATTTCATTTCTATTAACAGGAAAACAAAATTTTCACAAGAAAATATGCTCTTCTTATAGATGACGGACACATTGTGTTATCTTGATAAATTTTGTAAATGTAAACATGAGGAGAAGATTTATTAATTAATCCCAATCAGTAAAACTCTATGATGTATCCCAAAAACTTAGATAAAACACCAACATTTTACTAAAAATTTCACGCGTTCAATATGGCAACGTATAAATGAAGACTTTAACTTCTCTATTAATAAAACACAACAAATACCTCAAAAATCACCAAAAATAAAGTATAAAAATGAATATGCTCTATTCAGAGCAAACACAGGAGAAATAAAACGTAAAAAATCAGTTTTAGTTTCAACCCATTCGACCAATAAGATGAAGTACCTAATTTTGTCCTCGTAGCAACACTAACAGATAACATCATTAACGTTTCTGTTGGTTGTCACCTGAATTTCGTCACGCAACCCAACTTGCTTTACTAGCAATCCATTAAAAATGATTGGGCATTTATATAACAAACCTTATGTGTCAAGCATGCATCAGTTTATAAAAAAGGTAGAAGGTGTAGAACGTATAATTTGTCGATGGTTAGAATCCTTGTTATCGAATAGCCAAGTACAAACGATCCATAACAACACTAATTCTAATTTTTTAAACTTGATAATCTATATATTTAAAAGGAAATGATAGAATATAATCTATGATCTCTTGCATGCATTGAAATCTCTCGCTTGAAAAATGTTGTCTTCAAGGATAAAAGGGAGCGATAAGACTTGAACTTTTAATCAATACTCATTTTCTATGTTTAAAAGTCTCAAGAGTAATCCAAAAGAACCATCAAAGAGGTTTAGTTTCTAGCCAAATTCATATGCGACGTGGAAAAATAGGATTGGATGAAGAGGTCATGTCAATTCAGTTAGCAATATTAATTCCTTCCGAAGTTATTTTGATCAATTTTTCTTATTAAACATATTAGAAGGACATTGTGAACACTTACACAAAAGAAATAAACATTTAGAGTTGATAGAAATCTCAAATGTCCTACCTTAGGATTAATATCAGACAAATGGGCTAAATGAAAGTCCATAAAACAGGGGCTTGTTCGTCAAAGTCAATATTGATTCTTTCAATAGGATATGTTCCCGGATTATCAGCTGTCCAAAGAAAGTATAAGATATTCCACACAGACAACGTAATATTTGTAAGACTTAATTGTATACTCTAAGATAAATTAGCAACTGCACAACAGGAGTGTTGTTGATAAGCAGCCGTGTTCCACTACTCTGAATTACCTAAGATTTTTAAGAATATCGGATGCTCGACATTTAGACAACTCTACTTTAAGGAAGAAACTCTTCATCGTCAGATGGATCATATTTATTAAAGAAACTACCGATATCACAACAAAGAAGTTTATATGCAAAAAATTACGTAACACTAAGATGATACACTTAGATGTGAAGAAATTGTAATAACAAAAATGGATCAAAATCAAATGAATAAACCGTTGCAAAAGGAAAGCAAGAAGAAAAAAATGCAAAAAGATTTCAAGAAAAATGTTGTATAATTGTTGTATCAACACCAAAACTACAACCGCCTTCAACAAAGCACTACTAAGATCAGATCATCTTTGAAATGATAATGGATTAACTCCATAGTTGAACGTTTTATCTGAACCAACAGTATTCATCATAAAATGTGGCGAGGCACAAAGTACTGCAAATTTATGATATTATCGTTGTTGATACAATAAATCCTTCTTTTTCGACATAGTGATTCCTAGCGACATTGCATTCACGCAAAAGCCCTAAAAGCCTTTCCAGTTCGTTATTGCCTTTCTGCTCAATGTAAATTACGGTAGTATGTTTTACTCGACGTACTAACGCTCGATGTTGGGTTAATACGAGGAATTAAGTCTTAGATTTTGTTACATCTCAGTCTAAACCAACATAAATTTAATGTCTAACAATTATGTCCCAAAATGTTTTAATACTGCTATAATGGTTAATATTTCAATTCGTTATGAATGTAATTTTGATTCGCTTTCAGTAGTCCCCTTGCTGAAGAAGGCTATTGCCTTGAATCCACCTTCGTGTTTCTGCATTGCCACAGTTCCAAATCCTAGACTTCTAGCAAATGCATTGGTGTGCAGATCGGTTGGAATATTCGGATTAAAAACTGCTGAGAATTGTGTCGATGATTAGATGATGGATACCTGCCTTCTGACTGATTTGGTTGCCAAACGAAGGGAACGTTTTCTCTTACTAACCTGACTGTTTTAACGCAAAATTTGGAAAACATTTTCGGAAACACCCTGTCCCATAAATTTTCTGAAGCACTACATGCACATTCAAGTAAATCGGGTTCCGTACCATTACAAAAATTTATATAAAGCCTGATGAAAGCTTGCAATATGAATGTGAACACTTCACCCAACGTATAGGTATTCAATGCAGTGATAGTGATGATTGGTTATGGAGTTCCCGTAATAGTTATGGTCTCCATAATATAAAAATATGCGGTGAAGCTGCTATTGAAGATAAAACAGTTGCTAAGACAATGCTAAGCAATTCCAGCATTGGATGGTCAACAGCGTTAGTTAGTGTGTAAGTATTAATGACAAAATACATGTCGTGTATGTGCCTAATAATAATATAATAGGCATAATTAAATGAGGTCGTGATGGTTATTTATATTTATAACGATTAAGATATAGAACCTACGGAAATTTGTTTGAAAAAAGAAAAAAACCTGATAAGGTTACCCTTGTAGAGCCTGCAATAGAAAATCGCTGGAACATTGAAGTTTTAAATTTCGGCGGATAAAAACTGACTCCCGACCTGGTTAGACGAACCTGTTGTTTCAATATAATTTTATTATATAGATATTCTGGAATTCCAGAGACCACAATTCTGTGGAAAAGAACCAAACTGTAAAACTCCCTCCTGTTGAACATACTCAACCAATCAGCCTCTTTAAGTTTGTAAGAAATTCTTTCAATTTTTCGAATTCCATAGATAAATCCAAGATAACTGTTTTGTACTCTCTGTATACTTCGCGAAGTGACCGCATTAATAGCGCCATGATATATAGCAAACATAAAGTTAAAATGTGAGAGCACAAATGCGTCACAGAAACCTATTTTCACTTTTATGAGCAGGTATGAGTATGACCGATGCTGATAGAGGATTCGCAAATTGCAGTAAGATCTTTTAATATACATTGCAATAATTAACGTATCATTCAACTTAATAGCCAAGTCAGGAGCAGCAACACGCTCTTGACTACTAAAGCACATCCACATAGATTTGTCAAGGTTTATCTTTATGTGATGGTAAGAAGCAAGAGTAAATATTTTTTCAAGATCTTTGTTTATATTATATTCAACAACACCACTATCCGCATCCACATAAGAAGCGTACATCTGCATAAGAGTTAATCTTATAAAACTGAATAAATTTGCTGAATTGCGAAGTATATAAAGAAAATAAGAGATGACCCAACACAGAACCTTGTGGAACACCGCTTGTTACTGCCAAATCACTAGAAACAGAATCGTCAATCCTCACCCGCTGTGTGCGATCACTAAGATAATCACGTAAAATAGATACTGTGTCTTCACTAAATCCGAAATATCGAAATAATTTACAAATAACAGTATGGTTAACAGTATCAAATGCCTTAGAGTAATCCAAGAAAACTACGGCGGTATTCATTTCTCTATCAAGAGCAGTCAGCAAATCATTTGTTAAATTCAGCATTGATGTAGTGCAGCTATACCCACACCTAAAACCCGATTGCTGCGATGGGAGTAAATTCAGTTCCACATACTCTGCCAACTGTACTTTCATAATCTTTTCTAAAATTTTGGAAAGGACAGGGATATGTCGTAAATCGCAATATTCCTCAGGGTCACCCTTCTTAGGCAGCGGAACAACCTCAGCACGCTTCCATTCCATGGAAAATACATGTTCAGTTAAACAACAGTTTAGTATATAAGTTAAATATGGCAAAATAGTCGGACAAGACATTTTGATCATGTCAATGGAGACACTATCCGCTCCAACTGCAGATGAGGTTGAGCCAAAGAGACCTCCACTGGTTTAAAAGAAAAGACATTTTTAAAACTAGAACTATCATAGAGAACTAAACCAGACCCTTGGAAGTCTATAACAATTTCTTTGGCACTATTTACAAAATATTCATTAATCTTGTCAGGAAACTTTAAATTTGACGGTAAAGTAGCATCTTTATGTGATTTAATATTCAATTACTTCAATCTGCTCCACATTTGCCCTCCATGACCACGGATAGCAATAGAACCGAAAAATGCTCTCTTCTCATTTCTTCAGTAGTTAAATTCCTAAGAGATTTGTAGTATGCCCAATAAGCTACTTCACCCGAATGCGTAAATTTAGCTTTAGCCTCATCACGCAGTTTAATCATTAACTTAATATTATCGGTCATCCAGGGATCAGCTGGCTTAGAAAATCGATACCTTTTTATAGGAGCATGGTCATCAAAGAGGTAATTAACGCATTTGTGAAAAAAGAAACCTTCTCATTAATATCACCAATATAAAATACAGAATTAAACGGAATTGATCTTAAGTCTTGTAAAAAAGAATCACTATCAATATACTTTAAGAGACGCAAAAATTTAAATGTTGGAGATTTTTTAATTGTATTAATCCTTATGTCACAACATACCATATCATGATCAGAAAGGTGACACGGAATCACACCACTACGAAGTACCAAGGACCTATCAAATGAAATAACTAAATCAATAAGAGAAGCCGTATTCAGAGTTATTCTGGTAGGATGTTCGATGAGATTCTGACCTCCAAGAGAATCAAGCAGACTTAAAAGATATTCACTATCAATATTCATTATATTAATATTAAAATCAACACAACATATAATCTTGTCAGTAGTGCTTAGACAACTAGCAAATGAATTTTCAAACTCATCCAAAAAAAACCTGTAATAAACCGCATATATGGGTTGGTCTCAAAATATCTAGATTAGCAAATAGAAAATGTAGTTAGCAAATATTCAAAGTTGAACCTGATTACACCCAAGGCCCTCAAAGCAAATGATTTGCCATAATTTATTAACTATTACTATAAAAGATGTACAATATTGGCTAAACGACCAGATTTTTTTAAATGATGCGATTAAAATGTTGTAAATTCATCAAATATGTAGGAGTGCAGAGGAAGATGTTATGTCAGTGAATTTTGCAGAGGTATCGGAAGTGCGTAATAATATAATCTATGTGTTCATTGTAAACCTTACCAAGATTTTTCAGGAAGTCATAACTAAAGCACAATTTGAAAGTAGCAGATAAAGCATGGGTAAATTCAATGTAAAAAGTAGGTACTCTAACACGTTTATCACACGCAGAAAAGATTCCACCCAACCTCGAATGTGTCATCTGGTATTACTCCCGTATTCTGTTACAATAATATCACAATTTTGTATAAATTAATGCCAAGATTATCAAATGCAACAAGTTCACTTTCGCAAAATCAGCGAGCCATCATCATTGCGAAGCTAGAATTGTTACAACGGAAGTCAGAACAATTGACTGGGTTTTTCCATGTAAACAATGTATTGGCTAAACAACTTCGTAAAAATATTTCGTGGTGATTGAGGATACAACATGTGCATACAACAACGATGTTGACAAACTACAACAGATATCAGAATCCTATGCAAATCAGATGAGTAGCGTATGTTTATTGATAGCTCAAAAATAAACTTAAAAGCAAGGTAACTCCATCAAACAAACATGAAATCGGTCATTATCGGTTTAATTAATTCCACTGCACTTCTTTTATGGATTGATGCACTTAATTAGTTTACAGATTGCAAATTGTCAAAAAATTGGCTTAAATCATCTTACGAAAGTTACAAACAAAATTTCGAAGCTAATATAGCTAAACATTATGTGGGCTTTATTAATTGGCTTTTTTTGGGACCCGTTGGAACAATTTGGACGAAAAGCAGTGATCTGAAAGTTGTTGGAAAATAAGTCATTCATACAGTCAGAGAAAGTTTCCATTAGTATAACAATCATTAGTTTGAAATAGACCAAAGATCACCAACGGAGCGAATTTAAGACAGAATGCAAAATCCTTCTTCTTGAAGTGCTAATTTGTTAAGGAACAAACTTGAAACACTTCGAAGATTTTTTACAATGACATTTTATACACAGTATACGCACTTCAAGGAATGCAAAGTTCAAGCCTTCGTAGGAACTACGGAATACATCGACATAACGTTAGACACACTTTGCTAGATTGTGGTTGGCTGAATATGGAAAGACGATGGGTCGTGCCCGCTGCGGGATTTGTATACAGGTTCTTTACATCGGTGTCGTCGGGGCATCTGTTTAATAGACTTATACTTAGGGGAGTTGTATGCAATGTAGATATTCGATATAAGAACCTGCCGTCCATTCCTGTACATAATACTATTTTAGCTACCGTAATATCATGTTATTAAATAGAATCATCTTATAGTTGAAGACTTCCTTTTCGTTTAAGTCACTATTAGTATCATTAATTTTCTTAGTTATAATTGTTTCAACTTAAATCTAACTCTAAATAAAATCAATTATTTTATTTAGACATTAATGGTTTTATTTTGCTGAACACACGATAAAGAAGCAATAAATAACATCGACTTTTTTCAGCAGAATAAAACTTAATTACACTGAAAATTACACTTATTTATAAAACTATCATCTTAAAATTCCTGAAACGTTCTTCATTAATGTCGATAACATACTTTGAATGCCGTAGTCGACCTGATCTCGCATCCGACCACGTCGGTTATCGTAAAATTGTCACCTGGCCCTTCTCTCGCGTACGAGAGAAGAGTAAACTTTAATTAATGCGACATCGGGTTTAATTAACGCTCTTTTAATTGCGCAATTACGGCCGTATATCAAGGATTGTCGCTATATACGAGAGAAGGACGAGTTGTTAGTATCTTCGGCGCGATCTTATATACGTGTTACACCTGGATGTATTTCGCCACGGGCGGTCACTTCCGTTCTGAATTTTGACATGATCGATTTTCGATTTGATTGTTAATTCAAATAAATAATAAAACAAAATATATACTTACATACTAGAAAATCCAATTGAGAAGGTGGACGATCACGGATGGAGGAACACATGAAATAGAATGGTAAAAATTGCGGTTATTAGCATAAAGGTATGTTTAAATTGTAAATTTATTTTTGAAAAATCTAATTGGTAACTGATTATTTTGACGCCTTTAAGTTAAGAAAATGATAATAATTTTTATTGTTGATGATAATAATTTTTGTTTGTTTATTTGTAATGTGATGGTAACTTGGATTGATCATTCAAGTAGGTATTAGCCTTAAGAAAAGAAGTGGTCTAGACTCTAGAGGAGAGTTCTCCCATTAGCTTGAGAAGTTCTATCTAATATCTAATAACATGATACTTCGAGGAGATTGCATCGCGCATACCAAGATATACGGCAATAGAGGTTTGTTCCGCTGGATTTACTTTCGCCGTTACGGTTTTTTTCTTTTGTTTGGACATCGTTAGCGAAAGGATGCGTACGCGAAGACCAAGAAATTGGTGCTGAGCTGTCAGTCAAAGGAACCCTAATTTTTGTTGCGTACCGATGAAACACACTGATTATCCGACATTTCATTATTCATCTTTGTTGTTTTTCTAAGTAATCTATCTAAGTAATTAAACAAAAATTTAACATGAACTTGGTCATGTTGTTGTGAATAACAGGTGTATTTTACATGGAGAACAAGATCAAAGGATTATATTAAAATAATTTCACTAATATATTGCAATAGGGGTGATTGTCGACAAAGCGTCGCAAACCCGGTGAAAATTTATTAAGATTAAGATGGTACGGGTACCGACGAAGAAGCAGGATAAGTGAAAACGTTCTTTGAAACGGGCAGGTGCTGGACAACAATTGATACAATTTTCGCTTAGCGTATCTCTTCGATCTTTCGTGACTGCCGTACTCACACGTGTATACACGCTAACGCCGTCCGATTGCGTTTCGAGTTTACAAACCATTGCCATCTGATATCAGCGCTTTATAATTGGATTAAAGCCTATTACCTTCACTTGGTCTGTTATTAACACACCTATTGAAAAATATTGCAATTTGTAATTCCTTCATAAAATTCACATTATATTTAGATTTTTTCCCAATAAAAAGTACAGTATAACGGATTAATATGGGAAAGGGAGTGTCTGTTATAGCGAAAAGTCCGTTATATGAAACATTTTTAATTTGCACTTTAAACTGTTTGAATGAATAATTTTAATGCACACAAATTCGAATAGCTATTCACATAGTTGCGTTCTTTATTAGTTAGTTTAATAAAAATATACAACAATCTAGCACAAAATAACAACTAAAACAAGAACTAACACTACCATTAGAACTAGCACTAGACCTAGAACTAGAAACATTCGGGTTTACCCGTCTTAAGAGACGTAGGGGAAGAAATGCTTTGGATGTATTTGAGTTAGCAGAAGAGATGCAGCTAAATCATCTATTTAACAGCAGCGAAATTAGCTGGTATCGACTGGTTGTCAGGATTTAAGAAAAGAAACCCTCTAACTTTCTATTAGAGCTCCTGAGTCTACCAGCATAGCACGTGCAGTAGGTTTTAATAAATGAACCCTTTACTTATGAAAGGATGTTGACCAAATGCAGTTAGTTTTGCAAATGGTTCTGGATGGATGGACTCCGAATTTTCGTCAAGTAAAATGTAACAAAATATTATTAATCCTTGATAATGATACCAGTCACATAACACTAACTGCAATAAATAAAGCAAGAAAACATAATATTATAAATGTTTGTCCCCATACCAGTAACCGTCTACAGCCCCTTTGCTGAACTGTGTTAGGTCTTTATAACACCAGTATGTAAAAGAGTTGATTTATGGCACACTAATAACCCTGGATCTCGGGTGTCATTATATGATATCGTAGCAATGTTTTCGAAGGCATTTCATGCTGCCACTATGTACAGGGTGCGGCAACATTACTTCCTCTTTTGAAATGTGTGCCATTTAGTTGGTTGATGTCGTAGCGGAGCGCAAGTGGTCTCGTTCGAGAGTGTGGACTATAAAGTTTTGTTCCGACAAAGTCCAGGCGCCATCATACGTTGGAACAGTGAGGAGCGTGCGTTTCCCGTTGAGGCCTACTTTTCGAGCGGATATTCTGTGATCACATCCCAGTGCGCCTTTCGTAATTGCTTTAATTTAGCCCCGTAGGCCACTGTCCCGGATCGGAAATCAATTGTTACGTGGGTTAAAATTGCTCCGTTTAGACAAACTGCAAGTGGGATAAGACGAAGAACTGGAGTCCCATTAGAGCACCTGAGAACATTGCGGCAGTGAGAGCTTTAGTGTTGCGATCACCACGGCTAGATGAGTTGGACTTAGGGGACATTTGGTTCCAACAAAATGGTGCAACGGCTCACACTTCAAGAGCATCGATGGCTGTTTTGAGGGAACACTTCCCAAAATGCCTAATCTCAATTAGGGGCGATTTGGAGTTGTGACGCCTTGGCAACATATAAGAAGAAATTGCCAATATAACCCCTGCTATACTGACAAGAGTCACCTACCTGATTTGATCTTCAAAATTGTGTAAAACAAAACTTTATGTATATCCATACATTATAAAAAACAAATAAAAATTTTCTGATTCATACATAGGTTTTATTAAGTTTTGAAAAAAGGAAGTTATGTTGCCGCACCCTGCATAAGGTTTTTTAACGTTTTCAAACGATAGGAATTTATCCATTCAATGATGAAATATTTTCTGACAAATGTTTTCTGCCTGCTGAAGTCACAGATATTCTGATGGAGGAAGAAGCTGAAAGACCGATGTCTGCGGAAAATTTTACGGATGACCATCAACCTGACACTGAAAATGTATTTATGGAACCAAAATCGAGCTGTAGTTCAAAGATGTTGTCCTGAAAGTTTCTCCGAAGCCAAGATCCGATGCCCGTAAAATGCCAAATTCACACAAGAAAGCTAGCAAAATAAGCTTACTGCGAAAGATGCGAAAAAACAACAAGGTACCAAACGTATAAAAAGAAAACTTATTGAAAATTCCGATGGAAAGCAAAAAAAGAAAACCATGAAAAAGAATACCGTGGAGATGTTAAGAAGTGACAGTGAAGAGGAAGGTACTAACACTATGTATTTGCTGTCCAAGCAGGTATGGCGAATCAAAGGCAGACCAGGGGTGGATTCAATGCCAGAATTTCCGAATTTAGTGTGTTATACTTTTAGTTCAATAAAAACATACAGCAAGCTAGCACTGAATAATAACTAGTTAGCCGTACGCCTAAACGCAAAAATTAAAACTAGAACTACAGTCTTTGATTTATACATCGTATAAACAAATTGAGGAATACCTTAAGTTTATCTGTGAACGTGGAATAGAGCAACTTGGGGAATAACTCGAGTTGGATTCTATCTATGAGCACTAACATTTATATTTAAATATACTGATGTATTAAATAGATAATGCGTGCAGCAGGTATTAATAAACCACAAGTTTATTAACATATCGAAAGTGACCAAATCAATAGTATTGTTAACATACGACTGCGTGAGAGAGACAGTAAAAATGCCGTACGCTGGAATGAAATGGTGGATCATTCACCAATTCTGGAATGTAAAACGTACTTTACATCCTTACAACACATTTTTACGAAGAAATATCTCACCCACCCAGTTCCACAGAAGTAGAAGTAAAAAACAGCCTTAAAATCTATACTGATGGTTCAAGTAGACGGGAGGGAGTTGGAGCTGGAGTCTTCTCGTATGATCCACGACTCCAGGTATCTGAACTACTAGGTAAAGGTACCACCATCATACAGGCGGAGTTAATCGCCATACAACTTGCCGCTGACGTTATTGTTAGATCCAGTTTGGAAGGTAAGACTTTTACAATTTACATTGACAGTAGACAAGCTATTTTAGCCCTGAGTAGAATAACAATTACCTCAGGACTTGTAATGGATTGTCATCTGACATTGGAGAAGGCTGCAGTGCGTAACTGTGTTATACTTCAATGGACAAAAAATACTTGACCCTTTCAGGGAACAAGCACGCTAATAAGCTTGCTAAAAGGGCTGCAAAGCGAGCGCCCTGTTCGCCTGAACCGATAATCGCTCCGTCCTTATCAAGTCAAATTGAGATAATTAAAGATTTCACCCACAAAAAGCTTATGAACTGGTGGGACAGGGTTAAGGGCTGCCATCGGTCTAAGGAACTACTTCGTTACCTCTCAGCAGGGGCAGCCTTGTCTTTCGTAAAGCTTGGTAGAAACGCTCTACGAATTGTAAAGGGACTCGTCACGGGTCACTGTAAGGTAAACAAGCATCTTCATAATCTTAAGCTTGCTGTTAGTCCTCTCTTTCGCTTTTGCGAAGAGAACGAGGAGACTGTTCGACACATCTTGTATGACTGCCCCACTGTACAAAACCTCAGAATGAGTGACTTCGGAGAGGAATGCCCGAGCACGGATGGCATCAGGAATACATCTCTAAGCTGTATTCTAGCCTTCGGAAATTCCTTAGGCTGCTTGATGTAGCCTGAGAGAGTGCAGGAGGATGTATAAGGGGCCCGTTGGGGCCTAGGTGCTGTATGCGTAAGCATACCCTTCCCTCTCCTACATACACATACAACATACGACTACCTCCATTCTGAACAACTAAATCTGATACTTGGTTTAGACAAATAGAAGCACAATTCGAATTGTCACGTATCACTAGTGACAAAAGCAAGTACAATTTAGTTGTCAAAAGTAGTGTCTTATACATTGTTAATATAATCAACGAGCCTCCAGAGCGAGACCTATATGCGACCCTGAAGAAAAGCATCATCAATCACCTATCTCTTAGCGAAGAAAAACGATTAAATGACTTTCTCTCAAATACGCATATGGGAGAACAAAAGCCTTTAGATTTCTACCTAGAACTTTTATCCAACATAGGCAGTTCTCAGGTAGTAAGTTCTGATCTTCTTTTGAAGCTTTGGAAAACAAGGTTGCCAAACACTAGTTCAGTGGCGCTGTTAGCCTCTGGCAAAG